CCAAAAATCCAAGATGTCAACCAGGAAGTAGCTAAACCCTGGCTTCATTTTCTCAGTGCAGAAACCAGCAGGTGACGTCACGGAAGCTACGTCCATCTTTTATACAGTCTGTGGTTTCACTGTGTAGACACATGATTTAAGTGTGTTTGTGTCGCTGCACAGATCCAGTCAGACCAACAACATACACAGTGTTTACTAAAAGTTCTTTGTTTCTTCTTTTAGTGCTTTTAAACATTGAATCACAATAAATTAAACGTTGATTTTTGACATTTTTTAAAAAATAAAGTCTCTTTCATGTCAAAGTGAAAACAGATTTCTACAAAGTAAAGGAAACAGGAATAACTTCTACTACTGGCTAGAGGAGGGTCAGTACTGGACAATCACCTGTTTGACCTTTTACACTTTCAATGAACTGATGTCAGTTTTCTGACAAATTATCGTCAACACGATAAATTAAATCGACGATGTTTGAATATGGAGAGTTAGTAAAGGAGAAAACATCCAAAGAGAACAGCTGAATACAGTTTACAGATAAAACTCAGGTGTGTTCACCTGTCGGCCTGCAGCAGCTTCTGAACTCCGTCTGCCAGCTGAGACACTCGAGCCTCCATGTCCGACTGAGCCTGAACACAAACATGTCAACAAGTAAACAACAACAGGATTCAAACTGTGTTTCTGAAGCAGTGGAAACAAAGAGACACTAAACCTGAGAACATGTTTCTGTTTGGCAGCTTTTTACCGGCACATGTCCAGGATATGACAGCAGCTTTATACAGTCAGTACTACAGTAAATACTAAAATACTACAGTATCTACAGTCAGAACTACAATATCTGATGTAAATACGACAGTACCTGATGTAAATACTACAGTATCTACGGCATCAGAGTCTCTGCAGCTCCGTGACCTGACTTGGTGTCAGCTGTACCTTGATGAGTGGAGCTGCAGCAGCAGCAACAGCTGCAGAAGCTGCAGAAGCTGCTGCACTGCTGGCGTCTCCAAGACGACCAGAGGGAAGCTCCACCCCCTCGTGGATCCCCGACACACCTGCTGCATCCTGGGAACTCGGAGCAGCAGCGTCCTGAGAGCTTGTTGTGTTTGTCTGGAGGGGCAACAGCTGGACTCGGACCTCCCTCCTGTGGGGGGCGCTGTGAGCGCTGAGCAGCACACAGACATCATTAGTATAACTTATTATGTTTAATGCTGAGGGGTCACGTCATGCTGATAATAAAGAGCTACACGCTCTCAGTCAGTGTTTCTAACATTACAGAGTCTGGTCGTTAAATCGAAGGTTTTCCGGTGGAGGTTCTGAATGGGTCGGAGAACACCGAACTGGACTAACCGTTGTTTCAGAGCTGCCAACACGATGCCTCGACCTCCAGCTGTGAAGCGTGACGTCAGGAGGTCGTGACCTACAGGTGATGATGTAAGGAGAGGCAGAGTCAGCACTGTGATGTCATGACTACAGGAAGCTGGTTCACTTTAGTCTGTAGCTGTATTCAGACGAGGATCTGTAAGACTGCTGCTTTGTTGATAGCTGGACGCTCCTCCTCTGTGGTGGAGCGAGTTACTGAACCCTGTTCAACCTGCTGACTCCCTCAAAGTCTGTAAGAAAAGGCCTCTGCACTCGACAGACTGAAAACAAACAAACAAAAAAACAACTTCCTATCAGCTCCCTACAGCCTGCTCCTGGCATCAACACCCTAACCCTAACCCTGTCACACTGAACCTGTTCTATGGCTTGAATCCAGGTTGTTTCCTCCTGACCAGATCATTGCTTGTGTTGGATCTGCTCTCAGATGTACTTTGGAAAACAGTGTCGCTGAATGAAATCGTAAATCAGTCCGTTAAAGTGATGAAACTCTTATTATTATTGTTATTCAGACTTTAAGAGTCCCTTTAATGTCCGTCCAGCTTCATTCAGACAAAAAAGTCAGTGACATAATGATGCACTAATAAACTAAATCTAAACTGTCAGCAGATGATGATCTAACAGTGAGTCCACGTCTAACTGCTGCTTCACCAACAGTGTGAGCTGCTGTTACATCCTGATTCCTCCTGCCTTCATGTCAGGAACCATGAATTATTATAACTAATTATCAAACTACTGCTGTTGTGTGTGGATGCAGCTGCTCTCCTTCTGCTGCACATGTTTCATAAACTCAGAGGAAAGATTCCTGAACAGCTGGAATCAACAAACACACCTCCAAAACCTGGAAACTATATATAATATATAATCAATTATAATATAGTATATTATTTAGGCTAAATGCTAAGTGGAAATATAAGGTTATTAATACCATAAAATAAATGCTGCTGAGACTATTCCTCCTGATATTAATAATAACAACAATAAAATGGTTGGTGAGTCATATAAAAGCTGATAACTGATCGATTATTGGTTGCAGCTCTGATTATAATTAATTAAGTGATCAGAACCCTGATGAGCAGAAAACTCTCAAATAGATGATTAAATATAAAAATATTGTATTTTTACTCCAGTGGTCCACACAGCTCACATCCCGGGTGTCCGGAGCTCTTACCGGGCTCAGGGTCTGCTGCTGCCGGCGGCGGCGGAGCACCGGTGTCCGGCCGGTGTCGGAGCTTCTGCCGCTGCTGGCCGCTCAAAGGAGGCTGGACCCGGGGAGGCTCCCGCAGCTTCTGGATGGTGATCTGGACGGACCCGGGTCCGGCTCCGTGTCCCCGGGGAAGAGGCCGGGTGGAGCGGATTAAAACGCTCCCGGTGTCCGAGCCGCAGGCGGACTGGTCCGGACTGCCGGGACCGGAGAAAGAACCGGAGCCGCGCTGAGACAACATGACTGTCAATAAAGTTGATTTAAAGCCAGCTAGCTGTTAGCTCGCATGCTAACACAAGCGTTCAAACTTCCCGCTCCGCCGAATGACGGATAAAAACAGCAGCTGTTCGGCTGAAACTCGGCGAAGAACCAGAGTCAGAGCGGAGGGGAGACGTTTCGAAAGTTAAAAGTCATTTTTAAAACCTAAAGAGGCGACATAAGGATAAAAACAGACGCAGTTAAAGTGTAAAAGCGACAAATCTGGAAACACAACAACTGTTGCTAACACAAAACTACAACTTCCGCGTCAGAGATCGTGAAAGACGTTCAAGTGAGAGGTCTCACTCCTCCTACAGATCAGAACATCAAGAGTTCAGTTAAAAACAGAAGAAAATAGATCGATAAAATAACGTTTTAACAAACAGGACTCTGTCATTTAAGGTTCAAAGAGCTTAATGAGTCATAAAATAGGACTGAAGCTAAAGATTATTTTCACTGTTGATTAAAAAAACAGATTCGTTGGGTTTTCTGTGTAGAACAGTGTTGGGTTCTACCTGTAATATTTAATTAGTCCATTCAATTTGCAGAGTAATCGATAGTTTAGAGTCTTATCGTGTTACATTTTATTTCTTTTATTTCTTACACAGAAGCTGAGATTCACTGCAGTCAAGATCCTTGTTTGGGTACAAACTTTGGCAAAAAAGTTGATTCTGATTCATATTTAAATTAATCAGCTAAATTAACATAATATATATTAATGCGAAGTCTTAACCATAATACCTAAATTGATCAATTAAAAATGTGCAAAATATAATCAAGGGTGTTATTATCAATATTTAAATTGGTACATTTTCATAATTTAGAACTATTGTAGTGTTTCACCCTAACATTTTATTGAACGTCATTTATTTATTTAGTGTCTTCATCTTAATATTTAGATTAATCATGATTTCATTTGTGGTTCTTATTTAAATGTAACTTTAATTCTTCACTCCACACTCCGCTTTGCACGAGAACAGTTATTTTTATTTTTAGTAACTTTTTTTTAAAAGCTATTTTTATATTTTTTATCTTGTACATTGTACCTTACTCTGTATTTATTGTTGCACCGACCCACCAGAACAAATTCCTCGTATTGTGTGAACTATATCTGACAATAAATCTGTTTAGGATTCGGATTCTGATTCTGATGTGATAAATGATATTGTAGGATTTTAATCTTATTATTTTATTCTGTGATTTTATACAGACAGAAGTTTAAACCCCTCCGACTGTATTTATTGAATATTTTGTTAAAACTAAAAGCTGATTCGTTATTTCTGAGTCTCAGTTTGGCAGCAGGTAGGAAATTTATGTTGCCTCACACTTGTATCTCATCGGACCGTTTCCGGCAGCGCACCGTCCGGCTTTTGGTTTCTGATATAAACTTTCGTCCCATTTTAATTTCATGTTTAAAAATATATTTTTAACTCTTCGCACCTGAATCATTTGAACAAACCTCCAGTCATTTAATGTTGAATTAAAAACGAGTTTCCTGTTTTTTTGTGTTCCGCTGTTTTAAAGTGAATTAAAGGTTTTAAAATGTTTGAATCTGCGGCTCCGCTTCTCTTGGTTCGTCCTTCAGACCCTCAGCAGCACGCAGCAGGTAAAAGAGAAGCTCTGGCTCTGGTTTTAGTTCATTGTTTCACTCTCTGCTGAAGTTTAAACGTCCGAAGGAGAAAAAAAAATGACAATAAACCACCGAGAAACTGAACCGGAGGACGGAGACGTGCAGCTAACGGGGCTAACTGTTAGCTTCATGCTAACTGAGCAGAAGACAGAACATCCAACCTGAGAATATTTTATCTTTATCAGCATTTATTTATGCTGTAAAATAAGGAAACGTGTCCGGATTCGTTTAAATGTGTGTTTGAATATTTGCTAAACAGCTCTAGACTGCGAGGCAGAGAGCGGATGTTAAGTTAATGTTTTTTTGAATGGAGTCTGGTGCAGCAGCAGAAGCGCTGATTGTGTCCGTGTTTTCTCCACACAGAGGCTGAATCATGGCGATGCAGGTGTCCGAGTCCGACCAGATCAAACAGGTAAGCTGCTGTATTTCAATGTTTAAAACAGAAACACAGAAAGCAGAGTGAAGTCAGCTTCACAAAATCCTCTTTATTGTCATTTCCAGGGTCCATACATGCAGCTGAATGAAATAAGAGTTTCTCTCAACCAGATATATGACATTATGTGTCTGTCAGATTTTAATTTTACTGATAATTTTTCTAATGATATTTCTGGTTGCATCTATAATCATTAGCTTAGCAGTGCTCCTAACTTGAATCTTTTTATACACGGCTTTCCAGACCTGGAAAACTTTTGGAAAATGACAGAAAAATATTGAAAACAGAGAAAATCTGTGTGAGAATTAAAGACAAAATCCTAAAATAAAAGTCAGGAAACTAAGTTACTTTAGATGGCACCTCTGTCTTAAACCTCAGCTGGACGTTGCAGAAATGTTGCTGTGAAACGTTTTCTGTTGGAAATATGTTTTTTGTGTTCACTTCCAGTTTAAGGAGTTTCTGGGGACGTACAACAAGCTGACGGAGAACTGCTTCATGGACTGTGTCAAAGACTTCACCACCAGAGACGTGAAGCCGGAGGAGGTAAAATAAAACACTGATAAACTCAGAGACGTGAAGTAAAGCGTTTTGTTTTCAGCCTCTCAGACGAACGATTTCTGTTTGTGTTCACAGTAAACTGGATGTTTTTGGACAAAGTAAATCTCCTGAAACTATTTTCATAAACTAGTGCAGTCAGTAATAATTAAAAAATGTACCAGTTTTCACCGTCAAACCACAGAACGTCTCACGGATCAATAATCGTGTGTTCACTTTAATTCATGGACCTCTGAGGATGTTTCTGCTCTTTGGGTTCTGAATTCACAACTGCAGGCAAATATTGTTTTGTAAAGACAATGAATCTGTTTCCTAATTTGACAGAAATCTGTGTTTTCTGACCATTTGACGAACAAAACGTGTCGCTTATGCGTCAGAAGAAGAAACCACGAGTAACTAAACTGGTTAAAAGTTTCATTCTGGTGCAGATTAAAACTTCTTTGAGAGGCAGAAAAAAAAAAGGAAAATTCTCGACATAGTTCTGTGACAAAACTGTCGGAGCTGAAAATGATCAAACTGACGAATTATGTTTATTTCTGAAGTCGGCGTTTAGTTTTCAGGTTGAGTGTGGAGATGTTTAGATTTTATAGTTCAGGACGTTTAAACTGTTGAAGCTGAATCTCCTCATCTGTCGCCCTCTTGTGGCTGTTTTGGGGGAAAAACAAGTAAAACCAATAAAAAGACACTGATCAGCTGTTTGTAGGTGAATGGAAGCAGAAGTCGTAGCTTTTTATCTTTTGTCCTGATTCATGTCGTTCAGTTTGTTGTTGTTTGTTTGTTTGTTTGCAGTCGAGCTGCTCCGAGTCGTGTCTGCAGAAGTACCTGAAGATGACTCAACGGATCTCGATGCGCTTCCAGGAATATCACATCCAGCAGAACGAGGCTCTGGCTGCCAAAGCCGGACTGTTGGCGCAGCCTCGCTGAGCCGGTTCTAGTTCTGATGATCTGGCGACACCATGAATACAGACTGAAGCTGCCTCAGAGCATCATGGGAAATGGAGTTGAAACAGATCCGTGATGTGTTGGACAGAAACTGTGGAGTTCAACTTTACTGTTTTCTTTGTGTTGAAATGTTTTGTTTTTTTTAATTAAACGTTGCGATGATCTGACGTCTCGAGTCCAGAAATAATCCTGTAGCTGTGGTACTGTGGAGTGCTTCAGGAGTACTTCATACCCGTACTTTCTCCTCTCCGAGTGTCCGACAGCTGATTTCAGATAAAACAAACTCTGGTTCCGTTATTTGACCTGCTCAGGTTGGAAAGATTTAGAAAAAAAAAACAAAACTGTTTAATCTGCTTTTACAAGATAATAGAAGATTATGAAAGTAGATTTACTCGAGTACTAAAAGAAAATACTGTTTTTTTTTTTACATCTACGGTAATATTCCAGCTGCAGGTACGTTATGGATATCCTGATGACAATAGTTTTATAGTTTAAAGTAAAAATAAAACGACTGAAAAATGAGACCAAAGAGTCAAAACAACCACCATGGTTTAAAAAAAAAAAAAGATTAAAAAGTGACTCAAAGCAGCTGAAAATTGATAAAATTACAAAAAAACCCGGTGCAGAACAGTTGTGAAGACAAAAAACGACACGGACACGTCCAAAAAAAACACTGCAGAGAGAAATGAGACATAAAACACACAAAACAACCAAATAAGATGAAAAAATGACCACAAAGACATGGAAAACAACTACAAAGATAAAAATGACCACAAGAAGATGCAGAACTTCTGTGAAGAGACACTGAACGACCAAAAGGTGACGCTATGAAAGACAAAAACACGAAGCGACTGCAGAGGGGAAAAGACATGACCAGAGACAAAAAAACAACCGCGAAGAGAGACAAAACATCAAAAAGACAAAAAATAAAGACCAGAATGAGACACAACAACCAAAAAAAGACAAAAAGCAACGACAAAGCAACATGAAGCGACTGCAGAGGAAAAAAAGACCAGAGACAAAAAACAAGGAGATAAAACCTCCACAAAAGATAAAAATGACACAAAAAGAGAGAAAACTTCAGAGATAAAACGACAGAGATGAAAAATGATCACAAAGTGACACAAAACTACGATGAGAAGACAAAAAAAAACTTAAAAAAATAACACAAAGCGACTGTAAAGAGACAAAAAATGATCAAAATGAGACATAAACAAAAAGACAAAAAAACATGACCACAAAACAACTACGAAGCAACATGAAGCAACTACAGAGAAAAAAATGACCACAAACAAAAATCATCACAAAAGATAAAAATGACACAAAAAGATGTCAAACTGCTGTAAAGACACAAAATGACGGTGGAGACGACAAAAACACCAACTGCATAGAGAAATGAGACATCGTATAGACAACACACGACCAAAAACCGACACAAAGCCACAAAAAGCAAAAAAATCACCACAAAAAGATGCAAAACAGCAAAGAGATAAAACCACAGACGAGAAATGACACAAAGTGACACAAAAATACCACCAGAAGACAAAAAATAACAAACAAAAAAAGAAAGACCATAAAACGAAGCAAAACCACCTGAAACAACAGAAAGAGTTCTGCTGAAGACCTCACCTGAGTCCAGACGCCTCCAGACTCTGATGAACTCACCTGAAGCTGCTCGTCAAGGATCAAACGTTTAAACTGAAGGTCGCCACAGAAAGAGAAACTAAAGACCAACATGTGACCAGCTGAAGCGTCGCCGTGCGGCTCGTCTTCAGTTTTAATTCTGCACCGTCACATCTCAGCCTCCTGGTTAAAACTCATAGCTCAGGGTTCCCGATGGCCCTGAACGCAGCAGCAGGATGGACACAGACGCTGCAGTCGTATTTAAAAACTTTATTAGAAACAGAGCTGCTTGTTGTGCACACAGTCCAGCAGCTTCTGCTCAGAGGAAGAGTGTGTTTCTGTATTTACAACCGTCGCCGCCAGAACACCACATAGAAAAAAAAAGAAGAAGAAGAACCGAGGAGTTCATAATACAACAGTACAAACGGGCTTCTCTTAAAAAATATTATAAATCATTCTTTACAGGCTGTAAAACGTGGCTTCAAATACACGCTGTGGCTTCACGCTTCGCTCTATGTACAAAACATGAGGAGTCGAGAGGCGCCGTCTGTCCGCCGAGACCACGAGGAGAAGTGCAGCAGAACCCGGACCGGGTCCAGACAGAACCAGAACCACCAGGAGACGTGAAGCAGAACCGGATCCGTGACTTTAAATCAATAGATTCAACATTTATCAGCTGTGGATTCACTTAAGTTTGATCTGATTTAAAGTGTGATTCTTGAAGCAAAAACATTCAAAGTGAAACTTTTTCAACCAAATCTGTGACTTTAAATTCTGGAGCAGTTCAACGTCTCAACCCTGACGTTTTTCAAATAAAATCCACCAAAGTGCCATTTACTGAGTCAGAACCAGAACTTCGTGGGTCGAAGCATTGACTCTGACTCACCTGAAGTCCGGTTATCAGGTCAAATCAGCCAGACGGAGATTTAATGAGTCCAGATTATGACCTGATGAATCAAAACAAGTCTTTTACGGTGAATTTAACTCCCTGAAAGTCACAATATCAGACAAAAAAGAAGCTACGAGCAGATTTGATCAGTCAAATTATCGGAAAAATACAAGAAGTCAAGATTTAATGAGTCAAAATTTCAGCTTAGTGAATCAAAATAACGACGTTATCGACTCGTGTAGAGTAGGATGATCCAATAAGAGTGAGATTTAACGAGTCACAACTGTGAGTCAGTAAATAATAATAATAACTGCGAATAAATAAATCAAAATGAGCCGACAGCTGTTTTAGAGTTAAAACTGAAACTGTGCCGTCGCTGGTAGATCTTTGACATTTGGCGGATGTGTCTGTTTTCGTGGCAGCTCTGGTCCTCCGTACGAACCAAACACGTATAAAAAATAAAACGTTTGCAATAAATAGTGACGGAGCTGCAGCTGAGCTATCTGACACAAAAACTAAATCTGTTTCTTTCCCGCTGTGACGCCACAAACTTTTTGGATTTTTTTGTTTTGTTTTTACCAAAATAAAAGCTCTGATTCCGTATAAAAAGACCAAAAACTTTCACAGCTGGAAGTCAGGAAACTTGTTTTTTTTTGTTTTTTTTGTTTTTTTTAAATTGGAGCGAAGAAACAAAAAGTGAAAATAAAAATGTGCATATCGACGCCCTCCAACACTTTATGGAGAGAAGAGGAGTTCTGCGGCTGGACAGACGGCGAGCTCGTTTTTTGCTCCTCAAACAGGAAGTCAGTCCGTCGACAAGGGGGCGGGGCTTCGGTCAACGCCCCCTCCCCTCCCCCTCCTCTGTGCGGCATTTCCCATCAGCCGCTGCGTTGGGCGAAGCTCGTGGCTGCAAACTGCGGGGAGCTTGTTTGTTTTTTTTTTAACCCATCGTGCCCTCGGAGTCGGCAGAGAGGGGCGGAGTCTGTGTCTGGAGGGGGCGGGGCTGAGCAGGAGGTAGGCGGAGTCTCTGTGGGCGTGTCATCACCTGCACTCCACCGCCACAGTGTTCTGCGTGGGCGACGCCGAGGACGGACTCATGCCGGTGTCCGAAGAGCCCGAAGACGTGGACGCCGTCGTGTTGGACACTGAGACGGAGGAAACAATAAGTCACGATTAAAACCAGAGTCTGGATCAACAGGAAGTCCGTTACTACTGCAGGAATCAGAACCAGGTGTGACGGTTCAGCCTGACAAGCAGCTTCCTACCTTCTCTCTCCTTCTTCTTTAGTCTCTTCCTGCGTCTGTCGATGGACGCCACCTCCGACTTGAGCGTCATGTAGTACTTCCTGATCTCCTGCAGCTTCTCCTGCAGGAAGGAGATCCTCTCTGTGCTCGACATGCTGTCCAGCTCGTCTGAGGAAGAACACCCCAGTTAGTTCTCTTCATCGTTAAAATCAAACAGTTTGTGCTGCGACGGATTAAAACTGAACGTCGGCACATCGACAGACAGACGGAAGCTAACATCCTCACCGTCAGACATCAGCAAATGTCTGATGAGGTGGAGATGAAACGAGCTGCTGGCCAGCGTCAGCCTGCTCATTCACATGACTTTACTGCTCTGAGCGGGACGGTTTGGTGACATGCACTTAAAACCCCCAACTTGTTAGAATTTACTGGAATAAATCCGCAAAACTAGAAATCGTTTCACAAAAAAAATTTGAAAATTTGAAGTTCATAATACTCAGAAAGAAGAACTCTGACGATGGACGAAACGTTAAAACTGGAACATTTAAAACAGAAAGTAAGATTTAAGGTGGAATTAACTGTAAACCTACAAAAACTTGGTAAGAAACACGTATTTTTTGTGGAATAAGCCTTTAAAACCAAACAGACGGATGCAGAGGACGGGAGGTGAAATGCGAGTTACCGAGCTGGAAGGTCCACTTGTAGGTCCTCTGAGGAGACGGGAAGCTCTGCTTGTCTTTGCTGTGAGACGACGGAGATGAAAGTCCGGGACAGCGAGACTTCTGGGACTTCAGGGATAGACGGGACTGATCCTCGCTGTCGCTGCTGTGGCCTGATGGAGGGAGAAGGACCGTTAACAGGACCGAGTTCTGAATGAAGCTCAACCAACACAACCAGCTGGACTCAGCACCAGTCCTCAGGTTCTGGATGATTTACCGTAATGTCCGGACTATAAGCCACGACTTTCTTCACATGCTTTGAACGCTGCGGCTTAAACAATGACATGGCTAATTTATGGATTTTTTACGACTTTTACGACTTTGTCTCAAGACCAAAGTGACGCTGAGAGCGACAACGACAGATCGATCAGTGACTTTTCCTGGTAGGCTGCTGGAGTTTTATTTCCTTAACCAGCTGTGTTACAGGCGCTGTTCAGAAAAAAGTATCTACGGTACGTATCTGTGTATGTTACCGCTACGTAATTAATTAAAGGTTAAAACATCTTTCTGTGTAAATATCTCATGTTCCAACGTGGACACCTGCAGCTTAGAGACCAGTGCAGCCTGTATATGTACACACCTGGTTTTCTGTTTAAAGTTAGTGGGTGGCGCTTATATTCAGGTGCCTCAATAGTCTGGAATTTACGGTAATTAATTTTGTTAATTTTGTTGTTTCGTTGTGGATGTTTTGTGTCAGTGTGATTTTCTGTTATTCTGCATCTTTAAACACATTCCACCGATCATCTACCTGTGATATCATGTGACCTGTCAGTGACATCATCTCACCTGCTCCGTTCTTCTCCACCTTCCCCGGCGTGTTCAGTCGTTTCTGGTTGCGTTTCTGTTTCTTGGCTGACGGACTCGAGTTACAGTCCGTCACTCTCTTCTGACCTGTGGGTCAAAGGTGAGGCGTTAATCACATGACACGGACGAACCAATCAGGCTGCGGCGTTCATCTCCGTGTGTTCTTACCTCGATCTTTGCTCTCCTGCAGCGACAACAGCGAGGTGGAGGACGAGGAGGCATCGAACCCGGGGCTGGAGTCGCCCTCAGGCTCCGCCCTCATCGCTCCTTGCTCCTCCTCGCTTTTGGCCAGGTGGAGCTCTTCAGGGCAGGGGGCGGAGCTTGGAGCGGCAGCAGGGAAGAAGGGGCGGACCTGAGGCTGGGGGAGGTGGGGGGAGGGGAGGGCGGCGTGGAGAAGGTGAGGCAGCGGGGGCGGAGCCTGCTGCTCCCGCATCATCAGGAGGAGGTGCTCCGAGGAGACGGGCTTCTCCTTCTCGTCGGGGTCGTCCAGGTCGACCTCGTGACAGACAAGCGCCTCAGGGCCCATCGGCGGCTCCAGCTCCTCAGCGGGGGCGGGGCCTGGAGCCTCGGGGGCGGGGGGAGGCGTCCCAGCATGCACCTCAGGCTCCTTCATGGCCCCGCCCACCAGACGCTCCTCTGACGCCTCCTCAGCGGGGCGGGGCCAATCCTCCGCCTTCGTCATCACCTCACTACGCCTCTCGGAGCGCAGCGGCGAGGGGAGGGTTTTGGGGGACGCTCCGGCAGCCATCTTGGGTGTGGCAGCGGGGGTTTTGGGGGAGGCTGCGTCCTCTTGCTTCCTGTCGGGGCGGGGCTTCTTCTCAGGAGCTCGCTGCTCTGCCGCCTTACGTTTGATGGCAACACTCCTGTCCTCGGGCGACCCCTCGCCGTTGTCCTCGCCGTCCTCCTCCTCGGTGGCTGAGTCGGTGTCGGAGTCGGCGGCGGGAGAGTCGGGTCGCAGGCGCTGCGAGGGGAGGCAGTGCAGCACCACCATCGGCTCATCCTGCCTCTTCAGGACGTTGCGAGGAGGCGACGACAGTGCGGTGGTCTGGGAGGGGCTGGCGGCAGGGCTGCAGAGGGGGATTCTGGGAGGAGTCTCGGCGCCGCTCTCCCTGAGGTTGGCCCGGCGACCTTTGACTCTGGGAGAGGACAGGGGGGGGGAGCGGTCGTCTTCCTCGGCGGTGGGCGGCGGTCTCTCAGGAGTTTTGCTAAGGGCGTCAGGCTGCGGCAGTGGCGGCGGCGTCCTGCTGGGAGACGCCTCAGCGGGCACTTCCTGTCCAGGAGACATCTTGTTTTTGTCCTGGATGGGTGTCGTCTTGGTAACTGGAGACATTTTGGTCTCCAGGTGAGCCGGCGACTCGGCGGCACCTCCGACAGGCTCCTCCCCCTTCTCCTCCTCCTCCTCCTTCTCTGGTTGGCTCGGGACTTTCTCAGGAGGTATGCTGGGACTCGGAGCTACAACGACGGCAGCTGGCGGCTGTGCTGTTGTTGCCATGGTGACTGTGTTGCTAGGAGAAGCTGCGACATCAGCAAGCTCACCCGTCTCCTCCTCCTCCTCGTCCTCATCCTCATCTTCCTCCTCTGGCTCCTCCTCCTCTGCCGGGCAGGGCGGAGCTTCAGCTCTTCCTCGCCAAGGTGACGGCTTTTTATCAGGCGGATCTTCTGATTCGCTGTCATCTGACGAGTTCCCAGAATCCTCTGCAGGACGAGAGAGGAGTTATTGATTATTGGTAACAACAGGTAAGTTACTGATCAGTGAATTGATGGGTGCTGTTCTCACCGTTGGAGGCTCGGTCCGAGTCGTACATGCCGGACGTCCTCCTGGTTCTCCTGCGAGGAGTGTCTGCAGAGAGACGACACGTCAGGACGCCGTTCTAACATCGACTCTCGTCTTTATGATGTGATGATATGTTCTTTGTCATTTGGAACCTAAACTAAAATATTTTGGCTCAAATTTTTAAGAACTTCATAAGTTTCAAACCTGGGAGTTTGTATTTCAATCTCAGAAGAACCTGTGAGTCCGTTTGAAGGAGTGAACATCTCCAGTAATAACACTTGCTGAGGACAGAAAAGTTTCCAGCAAATAAAAATGACTTCAGCAGAGGACACGTGGTTCATTACTGGAGATCTTGAACCCTTAAAACGGCTTCACAGGTTATTTTGGGGGTTAAAACAAATTCCAGGTCTGGAAACATACAATTCTCAAAATTCAGCCAAAACATTTATGTTCAAGGTTTTATATTTTATTCAAAGGTTTTCACAGGTCAGACGTGTTATAAATATTAAACAGAGAATTTCTTATGTTTGAATAAAACATGAAATTCTTAGAATTTAGCTGAAATGTTGTATAGAATTAAGTTTTGTCCCAAATCAACACATTTATAAAGACGAGCTAAAGTGAACCCTTTTAAAACTCCAATTAAAAACGATGCCTGAATCAACCAATCAGCAGCCTTGTCTGTTCTGAGCATGCTCAGTGTCTCTTACTGTCTCCGTTGGCCATGTTGGGCGTCGTCTCCGTCCTGCTGCTCTTCCCGTTGGACCGTCTTTCGCTGCTCGGTGTTTTGGAGACGCTGCGTCCGGCGGCGCTGGTCGGCGTGGTTCTGATCGGAGGTCGTCCTCGCTTCGCTCCTGTCGGCTTCGGCGCCGCCACCATCGCTGCCGGCTTGTCTTCGTCCTTCTCCGGCTCGTCCTTGTTCTGTCGGTGAACAGATCAGTTACATCATGCGGTTTGGGTGGTGATGTCATTGAACTAGTCCCGCACCCTGAGCGTCAGCATCTCACCTTCATCTTCCTCCGCTGCCTCTTCTTGGTTCCCTTCTCTGCCGGCCAGATGATGCGGTCGGCCTTCACCCACTCGTCGTACCTGCCATCAGAAACACCTGTCAGGTCAAAGCAGCGGCGGCCTGCAGGCCGGTAGAAGCGTCACCTGGGCACCGCCTCACCTGACGTTCCAGCCGTAGTAGTGGACCAGGTAGAACTGCTCCCCGTTGTCCACGTCGGTCTTCTTGATGTGAGCCTCGTAGATCTTCTGAGTCTTTCCTCGGCCGTACTTCACCCGAACCTTCGTCCCTGTCACAGAGTCTCCATCCTCGTCTTCGTCAGTCCTGAAACACAAACAGTTCAACCTGTCAGCTGCAGCGTCGACGGCGAGATGAGACGGTGGAGGAAAAGTTCTGGGCTCAGACTAATGATCAGTTTAATTTACATTAAAAACCTCTTTAACAAACATTTAATTTAAAGAATTCTTTATTTTTATTTTACAAACTAATCCTGAAACATTGCAGACAACAATTTTGCCATTTTTTCAAAAAGGTTATTTTCCAATTTTATTACTTAATTTTAAAATACTACTTTTAAACTTTCTATTGATTTAATGCAGAAATATGTTTATGGCATTTTGCTAATTAAAAAAAAGGACATCTTTGTATTCATGAAGTACTATGTCCTTTGTTTTATAACTTCCTGTTACAGTTTGTCATCGTTCTGCCTGTTTAAGTGCAAAACGTCCACCTGTCTGAGAAATAGTTTTTGCTCTTTTATGAAATCATTACACAAGTTAATTGATAATTTTATTTTAATACCTTAATGTGTCTGTGTGTCTGTGTTTTTTTTTAAAATGATGTCACAGTCTTATTTTAATTTTGTAATTTTGTCTTAAATATTTAGACACATACTGTAGTCGATGTGCTGTTTTTAATATTGTGTCCTGGTTTCTCACCTGTCTCCTCTCCTCCTCTCGCCGTCGTCCTCGTCATCTTCATCGTCCTCCTCGTCCTCGTCTTCGTCGGAGCCTTTCTCGGAGTCGTCCATCCTCCTGTTGCTGCGTCTCCTCACCTCCCTCTGCTGCTCCTCGCTGTTCTCTCCTCTCTTCTCTGGTCTGGACGGAGCTTCTCTCTCCACCTTCACCCGACTCCCAACGCACCTCCTCCTCCCCTGAGACACGACGTGGATTAAACAGTCAGTTATTGTGTTGCATCACAGAAACACAACGTAAACACAACGTAAACACAACGTAAACACAATGTAAACACAACGTAAACACAATGTAAACAAAACGTAAACAGCTGCTCACCCTCGGGGACGACTGCATCTCCTTCACTTCCTCCTTCTCGCTTTCGCTCTCCGACTCAGTCTCCTCCCTGTTTTCATCAACAGGCTCCGCCTTCACTTGCGGCGTGGGGGTCTCCTTAGGCTCCGCCCCTGCTGGCTTCTGATTGGCTGGCGGGGCAGGGGGGCGGGGGTTGTTGTGATGGATGGTTCTGAAGGTGATGGAGGCAGAGCGGCAGTACTCTTCGAATCCGTAAAGGTACCTGAAGACACGTGTCAGAGAAGCTTTAAACCGTCTGATGACAGTTTCATTATTGGTTAGAGAAACGTTTCTGTTTTTTTTCCGCACGTTTCTCTGCAGCATGAAGTCCTGCAGCTCTTTGGAAACAGAACAACATGAAGGAGGGGAGTTCAAATGATAAAAACTAGGGAAAAAAAGCTGAATTTATTAGATTTTTTTCATGTTTATCTCACAACACATCTTTCCAAGTGTCCACAGGTTATAACAACACTGGAAACAAACGGTGCGCTGCTCTAAATATTTTACTTATATTTTCATTTTGCTTTCATACTCGTTTCCTCTCCGCTCTGGAAACACCGCCGGCAGTTCAGACAAAAACTTTGATTACAGTCGAGTCGGTGAGAGGTTTCTAATGTGCCGTCTAGAATGAAGTGACCTGGATTAAATCTCATCGTTTTAAGTTGGCACATCACAGACGAGGAGTTTAAGGACGATCGGAAACTTCTGAAAACGTTTTTTGGATTTTTTATTCATACTTTCCTTTTTAATAACGTATGATGTTCAAGGAGATTGCTGCTGGAAAAGTGTTCGAAAGACTAAAAGAAAAACTTTGTCCTCCGACTTCAACTGATTCTCGCCTAAACAGAAACTCCTCTGAAGCGACAGTTCCACTCAAAGGTTCCTAAAACATGCAGCAGCCAACTCCTTCCTGGCTCTCTTACTTTTTGTAGGCCGTCTTGACGTTGTAGGATGCAGCAGAGTTGAGGACGGGGATCCCCAGGTCCATGTAGACCTGCTTCCACACGGTGCCGGACTCGATCTGAAACACAAAACCAGAACGTCGGTCAATGAAGCTCAACAGGCTGCAGAACCGTGGATTATGTTCTGCGTTAATAATCCGTCGTTTGGTCTTAAAATGTGAGGAAATGGTGAAAAATGTCCACAATGAAGAAGCTGCAATCACAGAATTAGACTGTTTTATAATGAAACTGAGCCAACCGATGAATCGTCAGCATCACGTGACTCTCGGACCAGAGGATGTCAGTGAAGGGCTTCTCACCTTGTGGCAGCCTCCCAGGTGATAAACCAGCCTGAAGAGCTTGAACAGGTTCAGATCTTTGTAGCCCAACACTGGAGGCTTGTTGATGGGAGTCCCTGAAACCAGACACACAGTGAGAACAAACTGTCACGCAGCAACAGCTGGACAGCGTCCAACACCCACACTGATGTTCTATAGAGTACGTCAGGAACACATTCACTGTGTCAGACGGAGTGTGCCAAGAAAGATGGGTTCTGCAGTTTGTAGCCAGAAAGCGTTTCTTGTCGTTCTGACCCAAAGTCCTCTGCGCAGTTACGTAACGGTGTCTCGCAACATTACAGTGAAGTAGTTTGTCCTTGAGCACATTCTGCATGAGACAGTTCGTACTCAGTGAGGGCAGCTGCAGTGAAAGTAAAGTGAACAAATATGCGATATGGAACAAAGCCTGTGATAAAAACTGTTGGTGGACAAACGTGTTCATGATGAAAACGTGACTAAAAGCTGAGCTGAAGCTTGAGCACGCATAGGGATTTTTTTTTTAACTGATCAATATTGGCACAAGCCTGAGTCAACGATTTTCTTAATAAATACAGGATTAAACAGAAAGAGGCTCCACCTGGTGGAACAACCAGGTACTACAGCTGGTCTATGATACATTACTGACATGTACAGGTTTTCTCCATCTGTTGGAGCCTCAGAACATCCTAAACCCTGACTCTACATGTACCCTGTGACTCTACATGTACCCTGTGACTCTACATCTGCCCTCCGACTCCACATCTGCCCTCCGACTCCACATCTGCCCTCCGACTCCACATCTGCCCTCCGACTCTACATCTGCCCTCCGACTCTACATCTGCCCTCCGACTCTGTATCTACCTCCTGATTCTACATCTACCCTCTAACTCTACATCTACCCCCTGATTCTACATCTACCCCCTGATTCTACATCTACCCTCCAACTCTACATCTGCCCTCTAACTCTGCACAAACACCTGATTGAGGGTAAAACTGGTTAGTTGGGCCTCACCTCTGTCCTCCATGAACTTGTAGAGCTGCTGTAGGAAGTGGTCCCTCTCCTCGGGGTCCAGCTCCTCCTCCGGCTGGACGGACAAACAGACCAACAGGACAGCACGATTAGATCGAGGCTCAAACAAACCTGTTCTGTTTGTCGGTGAATTGAAATCTCACCTCCTCCTTTATGTGCTTCTTCTTCTTCTTCTCCTCGTCGTCGTCCTCCTCCTCGTCCTCGCTCTCCTTCTCCTCTTCGTCGTCCTCGTCTTCACTGGAGGATGAGTCCAGGATCTGACTCATGTCCATCTTCCAAACCTCTGAGACCTCTCTGCTCCTCAGGAACATCTGGGCTGCTTCCAGACCTGCAGGAGGAAAACAGAAGTTATGATGATGCAGAAGAAGGAAGCGCCGGTCGGTCAGTCGGCGTCCCGGTGCATTGTGGGAGTCGTAGTGTCTCACCTCTCCTGTTGGAGAAGTCGGACTTGGTGAGGCTGAGGGAGTTGACGGTGTGGACATGTCTCCTTGCCACCGTGTAACTGAAAGATCAAAGAAGAGGACAAAGGTGAGAAGGAAACCGGTCAGAAATCAATCAGTGTGTTTTCATGGACACAAGTGTTCTGATCAGGGCTTAAAGCATCCAGTTCAAATGTTAATGGATAAAATTAACTGATATTTGAATGGAGTTTGGTGCAAATTTAGATTCATTGCTCTGGAAAGAAAATGCATTAATATTTTTCACTTGCATTCATCAACATGAACTGATGTCAAATGGTCAAATATTTGAATGGAGTTTGGTGCAAACGTCTTTTACCTACACTGAAAAAAAAAAAAAGAGTTCATCATCTGTGTTCACCCACATGCAAACTGATGTTGAATTAGCAGATATTTGAATGGACTCTGGTGCATATTAGCTGCTTCAGGAAGAAAATACATCAACATTTATCATCAGTGTTCACCCACATGAACTGATGCTAAATTAGCAGCTATTTGAGTGGTGCTTGGTGCAAACTCACGTTAGTCAATGCAGAATAAAAATGTATAAACATTTCTTATCAGTGTTCACCTGCATGCACGCTAATGTTAAATTAGCAGATGTGTGAATGAGATTGGGTGGAAACTTCTATTAGCGACTGCAGACAGAAAACTGAATTCAGCATCTGCGTTCACCTACACACAAACGGATGTTAAATGAGCAAATATTTGAGTGAGATTTGGTGCATATTAGCTGCTCCAAAAATGAAAGTACATCAGCGATATTTGAATGGAGTTTGGTCACTCAGCGTAACCCGACACTGATATTTATCCCATATCCGTGGAAACACACTCAATAACAACAATAACCAAAGTGAACTCACAACTTGCCGTCGCCGAACGACCTGACCAGACACTGGTCCTTCTTCACCACCAGTTCGTCGTTGCAGCTGGGAGACACCACCTGCAGGACAAACACACCAGAGTGAAGCTTCATCACTTCACCTGAATCCGTCTCTCTGGTTATTCTGCTGCATTTTAAAACCTCACAGTAATGCTTCTTCGTTATGTTTTCATTTCTATTTGCTTCTCTGAGCTCACCTTTACTGTATTTTATCTACAAAAGATGCAGCAGCTGACTTTATAAACCATCCTGCAGCTCTTACGGGCAGTGATATGTTCACATCAACACATCTGGGGCTCAGTAACTCATCGTGGTTCGTCTGGACACCAAGTAAAAAAAAACTTCAAATAATAAAACCAATAATTTATGTACTTAATTCTCTGCTGCCAGCTGTTATTATGTAGTGAACTATTCAGAGTGCTGAACCAACGGCGGTTGCAAAATGGCGATTAAGAAACGTGATCACAGACGTTAGAGATCTGCAGCACTGAGGCGACTCTCAGAGTAAACGAGAAGTTGTGGAAGCTGTCTTTAGCGTGTTAAGCTACGTGACATCGCTGCTAGAAAAACAAGAAATGCTGTACATGCAACACGACAGCTGTGATTAAACAGTGTTTGTGTGTAAAAGCCACTGCACGGAAACGGATTATATCTGTGTGAGAAAACTGACAAAGCATCTAATTCACATTCTGATTTGGACTTCTTGATCTTTTCATGTGATTTCAGTGCAGCATGAATATTAAAACCGCTCATGTTGTGATATTAATTCACTGTTTGAGCCTCAGTTCATACATTCAGCAAGTGGAGGGAGCGTTCAGGAAACAGAATTCACATATTGTCTGTTTTTCTGCGGTCAGACATTAAAACAATGTGTTAAGCAGCGGTTATTTCAATCTGCTGCTTTGAAGCTAAAATCCTGATTCTTTCACGTCGTCTGACAAACTGGCCTACATCAGAGACGACGGCTGATTTTATTTACTTTCAGAGTGTCGCTGAGAGAGAAAGGCGCGACAGAAACACTGATCCAAGCTCAGAGTCAGAGCATAAATATACATTAAAGAGAAAAGGAGCCGCTTTGTCCTGATCTTCAAAATATCCTCTGTGTCTTCTAATGCGAACAAAACGTCCTCTTTGTGTTTTTCTGCAACCAAAGAACGAATATCTGCAGGACGGGAGCTGGTGACACTTCAGACCAAACATTATGAACATTTAAAGATAAAAACGTGCAGAATATCTTTCAATACATCAGCCAACAGTTCGGACGGTTCATCACCTGCAGCGCTCAGTTGTTTGTTGTGTTGGTTTTGTTTGTTGTGTTTGTTTACCAGAGCCAGGAACCAGCTGCTGGGCTCGTCCACGCTCTCGATGCTGCACACGGTCCCCAGCAGCTCGTCGTTCAGCCTCCTCCGGTCGTCCTCCTCGTCCTCGCTGGACGACGACTCGTTCTCCTCGTCGGCCCTGAAACCAGTGCAGGAAGTCAGAAAGCGAAACAGGAAGTGAAGTCCGGAGCTCAGATGAACGGCTCCGGGTTTATGCTGGTCCATAGAGAGACACTGATTCCCTCCTGGAGACGCTAACTTTCAGGTTTGTGCTTCTGTAGGGTCATAACTCTGGTTCTAGATGAGTCAGGTTCATCTGAATAATTAATACAACTGATCCTAGTTGTATTTTTAGAATTGTTATTATTTGTATTTTTCACGGCACTGGAACTGGAAGAACAGCCTTTTCTTAATTCAAATATAAAAGAAATGACAATAAATGAATCTTGAATCTTTACCTTTATGTCGCTTTTGTTTCAATCCTTAATATTTTAATTATTCGGACCAAAATCTGACGCCGTGGGGTCTCAACGTCGACATTTAAACTGGTCAGGTGAGTTCATAACATCACACATTTTTGCTTCAAATGTGCTTTTTCAATAAACGTGACTTGTGACATAAAGTCAGTTTTACAAAAATAAAACCTCAGACGCACTAAAATTCACCTCATCAGTGTCTTCACCTCCACATTTAATCTGCTCCACTGAGTTCACAACCTTATTTTTCTAAGAAGCTGTATTGTTTTGTTGCTATAAATGAGCTCTATAATAGTTATTCGACAGTGTAACATAAAGGCGGTTTTAACTAAAAGCTGTGAAACGTAAAGCCAGAAGGACTCACACAGCCTGAGACGAGCGCCGTCCTCCGCGGTTCGACTTCTTGCCGATGACCGGAGTCCCGAAGTGCTCTGGGTTCGTTAGCGGCAGCTGGTCCAACGTCTGCAGCAGAACAGCAGGATGAGGAACCAGTTGGATGTTTAAGTCTTTAATAATAAAACCACGGAGTCGCGACTCACCTCGCTCTCTGCAAAGTGTCGCTCTCCCTTCAGACACAGAGACGTCCGGCGGAGGGTCTTCTCGTCTCCGTCGTCGAACACTGAAACAGATCAGACACTTTTACTTCTGAGTGAACTTTAAACCTCGAGGCTCCTTAGAGTCCAGTCTGAGAGGACCGACCCGGTTTCTTGTGTTTTTATCTGTCGTGATGCAAACAGGAGCTTCAGAAAACTCAACCGACCTCCTTCTGGAAATAATTCTCGTGTTATTGAAGCTGTCAGAGGAGGATTTGTGTGGCGTGGATTTCTGTTTCCGTCACCAGAAACGCTTCATTCTGCAGCCGATCTTCTCAAAACAGTTTTTTGTACATCTCTGACTCGCTTTGTGACGGTAAAGACCAACACAGCAGAGCGTACCTTTGGCTGATTCAGACTCATGGTATTTAGCAGTGAGGCTCCAGCGGTCACTGAACACATGACAGACCTTCTGCAGATCGATTATTCAGGCTTTTTCCGGCTCAGACTGAGTCTTTGGAGGCAACTTCGCTTGACAGTGAACAAATTAAGTCATGATCAGTAAAGGCGACGTGTCTCTGAGGCTGCATTTGATAAAAATGTCTTCATTTTCCTGTAATTTCTGATCATTTGATAAACAGAAATTATGATGAAGATATGAAACCGATGGCTCGATGTAGGAGAAACTCAGGTGTTTAGGTTGTCCACTGTGGGCCACCGTAGTAACAGACTGGACAAATATCATCTCTCTGTCAATATAAAGGGTCAGTTTAAAACACAATTCTCACGTTTGTATGCCGACGAAGACATAATCAGTGCTGCTGCTGAAAGCAATAAAGTACAAACGTTTAAACTTCTGAGATTTTTACCTTCCAAGTGAAAGATTTTCAGCTTTCAAACTGCTCAAAAATACACTAATTTGTCTCTAAAGGCAAATAACTGGCATTAAAATGTTAATATCTAACTCATGAGCTTTCACGTTTGTGATTTGAGCCTACACTGAGGTAAACGGACAGTCGAGCTCTCGTTTACTGCAAAAAATACAGATAAAGACTTTCTTCTGAGCTGCTCAAGCTTCAACTGGAACTAAAAATACCAGATCAGGACTGAAGCGCGCTCATGTTCTGCTGCGGACGCCACTTATGTCAGGATGCAGGAGGTTTTCCCGTTTGAATTCATTTTGATATTTAATCTAGAAGACTGTGGATCTGTCAGAGAGTCGACGCTGTTCATGAACTTTAACAACTTCGTTTTGATTCCTGTGATTCCGACAGCAGGTGATACAACGCCTCATCGCTGTAACCTGGCAGCGGATTGGCCAAAAGAAGCTGTGACATCATCAGCTCGTACACCGTTTCTCAGCATCATCACTCCTCCCCGACAGCCAATCAGAGCGTCACAGAAAACACCTGCTGCGTCTCATTAAAGCGTCTCTACAGCCTATTTTCAGACATGAGGAACGCGTTTGTTTATAATCAGAACTAATCAATAAAGTTTCTGCTGCTGTGTGTAAATTATTAATTAACTCAGAGGAAAAACTCCTGAACAGCTGGAGGCAACGAGAGCTTCGATCATCAGAGACTCGTGGTGGAACTTTGCCAGTTTTTCATCCTCAGGCTGCTCTGACGTGGAGGAAAAACAGCAGCAGTGTTCTAGTATGTGTGAAAATCAAATCTGCTAACTACAGATATCTAACAAAGCATGTGTAATTTCATTCTGATGAGGCAGGACACCAGTTAGAGTTTTTACAACATCATCCCAAACAGTTCAAACTTCATTTAAGACTCTAAAAAGGTCACTGTTGAACTAAGAATTAAAGATATCTTAAACTAGATATATAAAAAGTCAGAATTAAACAGCAGTCAGAGCCAAAGCAAAGTGTAGATGTCTGTGACGATAGCAGTAAAAGTGTCCTTGTAGAGATCTGAAATGTTCTGTTTAATTAATTTAACGACAGATATCTGCAGTCCAGATCCAGTCGAGGTAATTAAAGTTAAAACTGCTGTCATAGTCTGTTCTGTAACGTCGTTTTTTTCTTCCCTGCATGTCTCCTGACTTTATTTCTGGGACGTTTTGTTTTGTCCATCATTTATTTAATGTTCTAAACACTACATTACCCACAATCCTCTGGAGCGGCTGTAAATCACGAACAGAGCTTCATGTCTGCAGAACTCAAACATTAAAGTATCGTTGGTTTGTCTTCGTCTCCTGCTGATCAGATCTGTCTACCCAGAATGCACCTCTGGAGTCACAGTCAACTTTATGTGCACAAGTTTCTACTTTTAAATCACAGAAGCCGATATTTAGTGGTGAGTAAATCAAACCGGGGCAGGAAGACGTTGCTCCTCCGGTTTTACAGCTCGGCGAGGATCTCATCTCTGCTGCAGCTGCTTTTTACATTTTTATTCCGTGCGACTGAATCAGCAAATTCTGCTCACAAGTTTCTCCAGCAGCCGGGCTTCAGCGCACCGGCCAGAGAGACGCAGGAGGACGTAAATAAAACTGGAATCATGTGCTGGAGGCTGAACATGTGACCGGTGTGAGAAGGAAGTCAGCAGTCGGACTCACCCACAGTGTAGAGGCTGGCGTCGGTCAGCTTACTGATGACGGCTTCGCTGCACAGACCCTCGTTGGTCTTCACCTCCACCGTGGAGCCCACCTGGACACACGACAACAACGTCAACATTTACAGCAGCTCAGAGTCTGGCGGTCCATGTAATCATCTGGTTCTGTTCATGTCCTCTGCCAGCAGCTGGTAGCATCAGTATTATGGGATGTCTCATAGTGGTACCAGTTTAATGTCTATGACATCATTGGTACCCTGGATGTGGTTCTGGTTCTGATCAGTCACCAGAGGAAACTTTACAAAGTGCATTCTGGGTAAATTTTCCAGGCTCATATCAGCATGTGTGATGGTGGTTGGTCAGAACCAGTTCTAGACAATGGAAGGACCGTTTTACCTCCAGAACCTACCAGAACCATCTGTAGACAGGAGGACACCTGGATGGATGTAGAACTGATCTGGTGTCAGGTTCTACCAGAACCCAGATGTGTTCTTCATCAAAAAGTGCTCAAATTAGATGACAGTCGTCTAAAATTACACAAAAATGGCCCCAAACTTCTCAGACTTTTACAGTTGTCTAGAATTATTCAAAAACTGCTGAAAATGACTCGAAAATATTCATAATGACTCAAATAATTATTCAGAATTACATGAAAGTCGTCCTCAATTACTCCATATTTATCCAGTGTTTTAGTCTTTAGACGTCGACTCCTGGATGGACGTAAAACTGATTGAGTTTTATTTTTATCAGAACTCAAATGTGTTTTTCATCCATTAAAAATAGTTAAAAATAACGTTAAAGTCATCCAGATTTACACAATAATTGTCCCAAATGACTCAGATCGTTTAAAATGACATAAAAATTGTCCAAAATACTAGAAAACTGTCAAAAATGTCCGATATTAGTTGAAAAACTGTTCAAAATGACGTGAAACTTGTTCAAAACAATTACACACAAATGATCCAAAATTACTCAAATTCGTCCAAAGGTCCAGTGTTCAGACTGTGACTCCTGGATGGATGTAGAACTGATCTGGTGTCAGGTTCTAGCAGAACCCAGATGTGTTCTTCCTCCTAAATGTCATGTGTCTATCTGCTGTACTGATGAAGTTCTGAGGCTCAGAAATGATGGAAAAAAGCTAAATCACAGTCTGAAGGTGAAGGCAGCGGATTGGTCAGACAGCCAAGAGAAGGTGTGACATCACGTGACATCATCAGCTCGTTAAGCGAAACCGTTTCTCAGCATCATCACTCCTCTCCAACGGCCAATCAGAGCGGCTCTGCAGTGTTTTTGTTGCTGCTCAAACTGTGATACATCCCATAATACTGCTGCTTACAGCTGGTTGTAGAGAAGCACAGAGTCATGTGTCGTTAAGAGGCTCAGAATTAATAAAACGGTTTCATTAAATAAACTTGTGCAGAAACAATCAGCTGATTGTGAGGTCGGTTGTTTTTATGTAATGAACCAGACTGATGATACAAGAACACATTTGTTCCTCTAACAACTCATTTTGGTCCCTCAGGATATGAACCCAGCCGTGATTTAAAGGGAAAGTTCAGAGTTGTTTCACCATCAGAACCCTGATTCTCTGAAAACATGACGTTACGATGAGCATCTCACCCTCAGAGGTCCCTTGACCTGGTCGTCCTGCACCACCTGGGACGTGCTTTCCCCTTTCAGAGTCACCTGAAGACAGAAACAGGAACACAGTTAGAACAGAACAGACAGGATCGGAGGTGGACAGTCAGACGTCCTGAACCTGGAACCTGAAGGCCCAGGACGAACACGATCAGCTGGTTCGGTCTGAACAGCAGCTGCGGTTTCTGCTGCAAAAAGCACGAGGAAGACGGTGGGAAGCGAACACAGCAGCGTGTTTGTGCTGATTGTGGGTCTGATCGATAACTCTGTCAATTCACAGCTCCAGCCACAGACCACCACATCTTCACATTCTGTTGCTCAAACCTGCAAACTTCAGCAAGTTTATCTCAGAAATGAAGATTTATTAAGTCCAGCGGGACAGTTTGGTTAACTGGTGGTGACACGAATCCAGCAACGTCCAAAAATACACATCAGACCTTTTCTTAAATCCACACAGAATAAAGTCTACCAGCAGCTTCACGTCATGGTGGATCTGCACAGGCAGCAGAGATGGACGGATGGATGGAAGACCATTTAAATCAGTTTGAATCACGTCTCAGAGATGAAGACAAAACTCTGACAAATGTCCACGATGACGTGAGAAACTAGCGCTGAAACTCAGAACTACCGTAATGTCTGGACTATAAGCCGCTACTTTTTTCACACGCTTTGAACGCTGCGGCTTAAACAACGATGCGGCTAATTTATGGATTTTTACGAATTCGTCTCGAGACCAAAGTGACGCTGAGAGCGACGACAACAGAGAGACTGAGGAAGTGTTCACCTCCTGAAGGCAGAACAACAGACGTGTTCCCAATAAAGTGGTCGCTGAGTTTAAACACCTGAGAAAGTCCCTCCTCCAGGTAACCAACTCGTGAGCCTCCTTCATTAGCAGCAGTGTCACGAATCGTTCTGTAACCTGGCAGCGGATTGGTCAGACAGCCAAGAGAAGCTGTGACATCATCAGCTCGTTAAGCGAAACCGTTTCTCAGCATCACCACTCCTCCCCGACAGCCAATCAGAGCAGCTCTGCAGTGTTCTCATTTCTGTGCTACATCCCATAATACCGCTGCTGAAAGGTGGTCCAGCTGTAGATAAACCGTCAGTCAGTAGAGCAACGCCTCAGGAACGTCTGCAGCGTTTAACCGGCACCAAACTGTCTCCACCAACGACTCCCTCTAATTTACTGTATTTACTATTTATTATCTGACACTGACGGACCTGTAAGTTTTAAATTGTTCTTTTCTTGTGTTCCTGTTCAGGGACAACAGCTGCAAGGTAACCATTAGCCGTTAGCTAACCGCGGTGCTCCAGAGCTCAGGATCGACGGCACAGACGAGGTTAAGACTCGTCCTTTCCTGCTGCCGAGGACAGAAACACAGACTTCCTGTTGCGTTAACTGGATCTGAAACACTGCAGAGACGTGATCAGATGTCTCCACCTGGACACACCTGGTCTGAACTTGACCTCCAGGTCAGGAGAAGATCTGCACATTTTGAGGCTCCAAATAACTAATTTATCAAAGAGAAGCTCTGATTCGTGCTGGAGGAACATGTTTTGGATCAAAACGCTGCCTCTGAAGAGAATGTTGTAAAACCCTGAAACCTGCAGGTGAGTTTGAAATGTGTGTTATAAAAATCACCAATATGACACCATCTATCAGCCAGGAACGATCCAATCAGAACCAAGGATCTAAGTTTGAACATTTTAATGCTCCTTGACCAAATGTCATGTCAACATGTGTGGCTCCATCTGAACATTTAACCAAATCTGAGCTTAAAATTGTGACATTTTATCAAAACTTGGCAAAATTAAACCGTTACTGGTACGAACTGGATCCTATAAAAAAGTAAAAATTCTCCGCTGCTCTGCAGAACCATGAAGCCGTCAGTGACTTGGCGTCGTCATGTGACAAAAACAAGAAATAAAACTGAGCTGAACTGCAGGAAGTGTTTCCACAGAGCAGAAATGAACAACGTCAGTAACATCTGCAGCGTGTTGAGCCATCAGCTATGTCTCAGCGTCGGTCACATCTGTGGACATGTTGTTTTATTTTTGTGAATTAAATGATAACTTGTTAAAAGACGTCCATGGTTCTGACTGAAGACATCTCTGAGTTCCTCCTTCATGTGGTTCTGGTTCCACAGAGCGACAGGACTTCATGTTGCAGTCACAGTGAGTCAAACTGTGACTAAACCAAGGACCAGTCAACCCAAAACTAAATGAGCTGTCGTCGTTATTCAGCCAGAGAAAAACTAAAATACCTGAGGATGGTGTGAGAAAGCTCATGTTTCAGTGTCAAACGGGCCGACCGCAAGTCATTTTCGTTGCATTTTTAGTTTTTTGTCAAGTTCTGGGGGTTAAAAGGGAGTTAAGTCTTATTTGGGGGCGCCGCTATAGCTCACCTGGTTGAGCTACAGTCAGTGACACATCAGTCGTGGGTTCCAGTCCCGCTCATGACTCTTTGCTGCAGCTCCTCACCCCACTTTCCTATCTCTCTCTCTCTCTCTCTATCTGTCCTATCTAATAAAGCCAAAGAAGGCCAAAAAATATCTTTTAAAAAATAGAAGGAAATAAAAATCTTATGTGGAGCCTAAAATCTCTCAGACACTTCTCTCGGTTGTATCCTACAGATGCCTCCGTATCAACTTTGAGTCATTTTTGTTGCATTTTTACTTTTTCTGTCAACTTCCATCGAGCTCAGACAGTTTAAAGAGAACGCCATGCAGGTGTGTGCGCCTGTGAGTTGTGTGTGCGCCTGTGAGTTGTGTGTGTGTCTGTGAGTTGTGCGTCTCCAGATGTTTGCGGCTGGCTGTGCTCGGCTCACCTTGACCTTCACCATGCGCTTAACAGTCTTGATCTTGGCCTCGCAGAAGGCTCCTCTGTACTTGGCGCTGACATCCGTCCCCACCGTCAGGTAGGCAGGCTCGTCTGCTGCCTGAAACACAGACACACACACACGTCAGAACACACACACACGGCCTCCCAGCATGCACTGCGGCCCCTCTGAAGTCTGGCTCCATCCAGACTCACGAGGCTGCTGAGGCGGTTCTACGGCGCTGCTTTAATCGGAGCAGAGCCTCGTTCAGAGAAGAGGGTGAACACTGAGAACAACCGGCGTCGGGTTTTATAGAAGCGAACATCTGCAGAGCGTCACACCTGCACAGCTGGATCGGACTCACATCTGGACCTCCACACAAGACACACTGAGCCGTGAAGGTCCGCTTAAAGCTCCTCGTAGAAATAATAAATGGATCCGATGACCGGCATTCATCACTCATTTTGTTTAACTGACTCCTAACAAGCTAATTAATTAAAGGTAGAACTTGATTAATCCAGAATAAAAGTCTTGTGCCAGATGTTGCTCAGAAAACAAAACTACAGAACATGAGAATAAAAGCACAGCAGAAACATTCAAAATAAGTTGAAATAAAAGCAGAACAGAAAACGAAGCAGTTTAATCCTGGCAACGATTCTGAGGTCGTAACATCAAACACGATAATGAAATATTGTGGTTAAAACACGAATATTTAAAGGTATATATCAAACACTTTAGTCCCTCTGTTGCCTCAGTAACGTCCACGGTAGATTCTGATTGGCTGCTACTGATGGCCTGTAACCAATCAACACAGAGGGATAAACGTTCTAAATGCTTCATTAAACGTTAATCAGCACTTCAAGTTTTGTGCTGCAGTTGGTGTTTTTGTTGTTGATAGTCGCCGTTTTAAATAAACTTTTTACTGAGTCACATTCAAGTGATCCACGTTTTACTGAAAAAGTTTATTTCCAAATCAGATTTTTTTTTTTGTATTTTGTCCTGTCAAACATCATCAACCTGCTGCAGTGAGGTGCATTTTTTAAGAGTGACAAAGTTTTGCTTTACCAAAGTCGCAGTAAAAAAAAAAAAAAAACAACCTTCAGGCTGAATCAGATTCTGACGATGGTGTGAACAAACTGAAGACGTGAGGAGAGACGCAGGTAAAGGTGTTATGAACTTTGTTTGGTCCTTTCAGAGCGTCGCCACATGACTGAGCTCCTTTTGCATTCGTATTTACTGACATTCTGTTTGTCTGCAGAAATCACTGATGAGCACCAATACTTGAGATAAACCTCGTTTCTAACTTTCTCTCTGGAATCACTTCCAGTCTGAATCCAAATCAGAAAGAGAGATAACGGATGAATACTGGGAGTAAATGAGAACTTCACTTCAGTGACAGAAACTCTGAACGTCGTCGTAACGCTGCGACGTGATGAATAATTAAAACCCTGAACTGACTTCTGAAGTCACCAATAAACGTTTAATTACAGAAACTCGTTGTCTTCAGCTGCTCCGTGACTGAAGCTGAAACAAAACCGTCGCGTGAACATTTTAAATGAATCTTTATCGAAGCGCCGCTTCAGGTTTCACTTCAGCTTCTCGTCTGTGTTGGTTTCAGTTTCAGTCGGACTGAGAGGAATGAAGGTGAAGATGTTTGATCTGCGCTTCCTCCTTCCTCCTGCTCACGCCCTATTAGAGCCTCAGGACTCCTGTCATTTACATTTTTAACAGCTCCTCCTTTATCCTCTTTAGAAACAGATGCTCAGAGCTGTTGGTTGATCTGAATCAACTCTGCTCAGGTTGAAACCCCGACAGCCGTCAAACTGACCCACAGGCAGACGACGTTTTTACAACCAGGGCGGTGGAGGCTTAAAAAGCAGCGAGCCGACTCAAGACGTCGCCTAGAAACCGAAGATTTGACAGCAAAAAGGAGCTTCATGGATTATGTTTTAGAGAGAATGACGTGAAAAATGTTAAAATATGCAGCAGAGTCTGGAATGTCTGAACACTCGCTTCTTCTCTGGACGAACGGACACGTCCAGGTGACGGACGGCTTCGTGTTCATCGTGTGCTGATACTGAATAGAGCAGGAAAACGGTTCATTTTATCAGCAGGAACTAGAAAATATGTGCCGACGACCGACGCTGAAGGAAAGTTTCTAGAACGCCTGTAAGCAGCTGCAGCGCCGACATGTTCACAAGATATGACAACCGACAAAAATCCTCCTGCAGCGACGTTTAAATCTGATTGGTCCGTTTCTGCCTCGTCAGCAGCCTGTAGGGACGAATCCTGAACTGAAAGGTTTTAGATGAATCTGGATTTTCACAAAGTTCTTCTCAAAGCAGAGCGATGAAGACAAAACACGATTCAGTGAGTAAAAATCCAAACTGTGCTCAAAACAGTCTGAGAGAACCAAAGAGAGCTGAGCAGCAGCTCCATCAGCTGACCCGAGCTTCTCCTCGATCATCAACCTTAAAGGCTTCTTTGGTTTTCAGTGGAACCAAGAACAGTTCTGCCTGAAGACTGACCTGAACTGAAGTCAGTTTTCTCAGCTTCAACCTGGAGACTGCTGGGATCAACGTATTAACATTTACTAACAGATTTTTCCATTTACAGACAAATCTGAGTCTTATGGATCAAATCGGTGTAATATTTACACTTTATCAGTATTTTATGAGAGAATCAGTGTGATGCTGTTGAATGTGAACACTGTGAACTGATGTATATTTTGGGTTTATTTTTATCTTTCTCAACGTTTCCTCGTTGCTGCTGTAACAGAACTCAGATGATAAATGTGTGTCTCTGCATTTAGTTCAAACTGATGGACGAAAAGTGGAGTTTCAACTCATCGCAGCTCAACGTGCAGATTAAAGTGAACTAGTCTGTGTTTGATCCGTCTGTGGTTCTGGTTCTGGATCAGGTCTGGTTAAACTGATTCAACCTGCTGCTCGTACCAGCTGGTTCTGTTGGTTCAGGACTCACTCAGGCTCATCAGCTGCTGGTTTATTTCTCTGGTTGAAGACTATTTCGGTCCAGCATCTCCTCCGACTCGGTGAGATTGAATCCACATCAGCAGCAGATTTAACGACATGCAGATAAACTAAACCGTCACTCTCTGATTACAGCTTCTGATCAATACTCGTTTACTCGGCAGCAGAAACGAGACTTTCCGGGCGACTCCGTTGACTGTAAATGTGACTCTTTTCTGTGTGAATAAAGCTGGAAGGAACATCTGAAGCATCGCTCCAACAGCTCGACGGAGCAGCACGAGGCTTTCGCACTAAACGTCAAATAAATTAAAACAGAGGAACTCGTCACACACGTATTTATAAGAAAGTTATGTAACGGAGGAATGAATCCATCATAGAGTCTGATCGAGGTCCAGAATGAATGTCTTCTGCTAGTTAGAAAGTCTGCAGGAGTCTTTTAGCCACCAGTTGTGAATACGAAGCAGAATACGAAGCTAAAACCAGCAGCAGCTGCTCGTGGAGTTTAAATTTATCACAGCATCGAAAAAGAGAAAACGACCAAATAATCCTGAGATAAACAACCGACTGGAACTATTCAATTATTCACCAATAAAAACAGTCTAAATTCTGTCATTTCAGCTTCTTAGATGTGAATATTTTCTGCTTTCTTTCCTCCTCTGTGACAGTAAACTGAACATCTCTGTGTTGTGGAGGCAATAAATTAATTTCCACCATTTTCTGACACTTTAGAAACTGAACAACTACTTGATGAATGCAGACAATCATCAGTCGCAGCTTGGACGGGTACAAACACGACCGCCGTCACAGAAACACGGAGCACAAATGAGCTTCTCGCCTGGTTTGTGTTCAGACATCTAACAGACGTGATGTGAACCCTGAAGCTCCATCAACACTGGTCCAGTTTAAAACATCTTGTCAGGCGTCCCTACAGCTCACCTGGTTGAGCTGGCGACCCATGTTCAGGGCTACAGTCCCTGATGCAGCGGTCATGGGTTCGAATCCCACTCATGACCCTTTGCTGCAGGTCCTTCCCCCACTTCCCCGTCTCTCTCTCTCTCTCTGTCTTATCTAATAAAGCCAAAACAATATCTTTGGAAAAAAAAACACCTCCTGTCATGTTTGGCTCTAATGTGGACCACTGTCAGGATGTTAATCAGGATTTTATTGACCCTCTAAGGGAAGCTGCTGCCGTCCTGTTTACGTGTCACAAAACACACTAAAAGCACTATTTTTAAAATATATACTCGATTTTTAAAATGTAATGATGAAACAGTCACGTTGGGAAACTCTGCCGACGCTGGTCCGGCTCCAGAGCTGCATGTTTGTGTTCTGGTCGGACCAGACGGATCTCAGCGTTGCTACGTTCAGTCTGGAACAAAACAAACCAACAGCTTTGGCGCTCAGACACATCAGACATATTTAATGAATTACGGGAGTCACTGGACCTGTTGTTTCTGCTGCTGCTTTTAGTCGTCACCAGTTCTGTTCTGACTGTTTTGTAGAACTAAGGAGCGACTTCCTGCTTCCTGTTTACACCTGAGTGACCGGCTACCTGGACGCTCACAGGACAGAGACTTCAAACAGGAGGGTCAGAGTGAGGCTCAGAAATTCAGGTGGACAAACAACAACCCACAGAACCACGGCTGGTTCTGATCCGGCTGTGTGTCGTCCTATTAAAGTGCGTTTGTTTTAGTTTGTGTAGAATCTTTTTTGTTCGTTTCATCTGTTCTGAGCGTCTCAACGAACCTGTAAAGTCCATAAAGTTCATTCTGACCGCGACGTGTCTCGATGTTAGATCAGAGACGGTTTTCAGATTAACACCACGTGTTCCAATAAACGGTCTAAACTGAACTGATGTTTCGGATTCTTCTGATGCGTTTGTTCAGTAAAAGCCGAGTATTTCTGATGTTTCTACATTTTAGTAACGATAATCATGCGCCTGCTCTTTTCCTCAAACACACTTAATTCACACAAACGAGAGATATTTTAATTAACAACTCTAACAGACTTCGGTTTACAGCTGCGGAGGTGGACGTTCACCATCACAAACGAGAAGAATTAACATTTGTAGAAACAGCTGGATGATTGTGATCATTCAATAAGGCTGCACGACACCGGGAGGAAACGGACACCGTGACTATCTTGGTTTCTGCAGACCTGAAGAACTGTGTTTGGAAGGAAGTAATGGCTCTTAAACCATCAGGGCCTTTTTGCAGGGCAGCAAATCTGCACAGAAAATGTAAAATCATTTCATAAAAGCTGTTTGGGACCTTTCTCAGACGCCCAGGATGGTGTTTAGCTTTGGATGACATTCACATCTCTTGCTGCTGATTTAAACGCCCAAACTAACAGTTCACTAACATGGAGGCAACAACTGCTGACAGAGAGACGGTTTTTTCTTTTCTGTAGCCAAAATATTTTTATACAGCCGACGAGTTTTGAGATTTCTTCTGCTAAATCTTCCTCCTCAGTGTTTCTCTGATCATTCTGCTGTAAACACGTGGAGCCTGAACATTTAGAAAACTCTACATTTTAAATAAAGTTTCAGGAAAACTCTGAAGCCTAAAATTACAGTAAATTATGTTCTATTTAAGCGACTTCTCTTATAGATCAGTTGCGGGAAAATTAGGCTTTTGTATCATAAAGTTGTAGCCTGATGTTTTTGAGGTTATTTTTCTCCCTTGAGCTGATCTTCAGGTTGACTTCTGGATAGAATTTTGTGGATTAAATGGTAGAACCTTCATATTTGATGTGAGAGGATTTGGAGCAGCACGTGTTGGTTATTTATGCTGCAATACAGGACAAATATCAGAATCAATACGTGTTTCTAACTCTACTTGTGGACCTGCTCTCCTTCCCTGACTGACACCAGAGTGGAACCTGACCAGCTGGGCCCAGGTGAGTCCAGATGAGCCCGGATGAGCCCAGGTGCACTGGGAGGGCACCAGTCTGAGCCCCGGAGCCCAGCTGGATGTGTGAGCGCTCAGAGTCCGCCGGGAACATGATGTGTCGCAGGTCAAACACTCACCTTCATCTCTCCGGTTATTTGAGGGAGTCCAGCGCGAAAGACTTCAGATCTCTGAAAGACACAGACAGGCGGAGAAACGGGGTTAAAGTTGGCAGCGGCTCAGAGGACAGACAGCGGGCAGAGAGTCAAACTGTCCCGGGTTCTGGGATCATGCTAAGCTAACCAACTAGCCGCTGACTTGTGTTAGCTCAGGCATTCTTTTCTGGCTCGGTGCAGCCCCCTCCCTCCTCCTCCTCCTCCTCCTCCTTGCCCGGATCGGATCAAATATGTGGCACAAACACCAACTCAGCTAACACCGTGTTCCGCTACCGAGCCACCGGGGCCGCGGGAGGACCGTCGGCGGGGCGGTGAGGGGCTCGGGGCGGCCGCGGATGAGGTGAAGTGGCGCGGCCAGAGAAGGAGCGTTCCTTCCCGCTCCGCTCCCAGCTCCACTGTCGCCATCACAGCTCGCCATGTCAGCTAGCTCGGCTAACTTTACCGACACCCCCCCGGCCGAAACCGCCTGCTACCCACCCGCTGCCGGGGAACCGAGGGGGGTCTCCGCTACATAACCGAGCCCGAACAAAGTCCACACAGCGGGGAGAACCGAGCGGGCGTCACTCCGCTCTCCGCTCCGGAGCTAAATTTAGCTAGTTGGCTAACTAGCGACTCAACTAGCTAGTTTGTGGATCACACGGCGATTTAAACCGTCAGTTAGCGGCGGGGCAGCTTCGACCAGCGGCCACACGAGCTGCCCGGTCGGTTCCGAGGACCGGCTAAGTTTGATTCCGCCGAACCAGAACCGGTGACATTCGACGGAACGAGAAGCGCCGCGGATTTATTTATTTAATAAGCGGCTCTTCCACAAAGGCGCAGGAGATTCACATTTCTTCACTGCAAAAACAAGCCGACTGCCATTCAATTCAGCGCGGCCACCAGCGGGGAGCTCCCGGCCTCTCCGCTGACCTCCGGGCGGCTCCCTGCCCCCGGGCCCGCCAACCCTTTTACCTGTTCAAAGTTTTAGCTCGGTTCGGACACATTATGGAGGTTTATACTCACATTCTCGGCCGCGGCTGCTTCCCCTCTCGCTCGGGCTGCGAAGCGAACAACAAGCTGTTGAGCCCCGAGCTGTGTTTCCCGACACGCGATTGGCTGCGCTGACAGCGGTAGTTGCAGCACAGAAATCTGATTGGTGGAGCGATTCCTCCATTCCAATAGGACGTAGCTCTTCCGGCGTCACTATTGGCCTATACGAACGGCGCGCCACGAGGGAAATGACGGCGACGACTGGCTAGCTGTCCAATCAGAAGCGAGATCTAAAGAAAAAAGCTACACCGGTGATCGCGATTGGTCACATGATATTCGTTCCCAACAGCGGCGCTTCACGATTGGCTGAGCGGGCTTCCTTGTCTGTGGGAAGCCCCGCCTCGATACGTGCTGGAAACCCGTAAACCAAACTCCATTCAAAAATCCTCAGAGTTAATTCTACGTTGTTTATCGACGAAACTACACGACTGGTGGAAAATAACTGAACACATTTATTCATTTCTGAGATATTTATTCACAACGAATTTATTCATTTATAAAAACTCTAACAATCACACATTATAGCCTGGTTTCTTACTGCTTTACACCGAACAGAAACAGCCGGAAAGAGCGGTTTACTAACGCACTAAAGTTGAACTTTTATTCATATACGAGATGCTTGTTGCATGACATGTGTGCCGAAATTAAGAACAGTTGTCGTGCTTTTAACATCAGTGTTTATTTTCGCTCTACTGCGTCAATAAGTCACATATGACCGCTGCAAACGTTAAATGGCCACTTTTTTAAAGGCAGTTTGGCGGTGCGGTTTCCATATGTGCGACAACGTCACGTATCTGTGACTGTGGGGAAGCAGGCTCCAAAACAAACCGCTCCACCACGTCTTTTACCGCCCGACGGTCGGTGAGCGAACCGGGGCGGAGGGCTGACGGGGAGCGGGGGCGATGGGAACACGTTTGGCGGAGAATCACCGGCACAAACGGACGGTTTTTAGCCGAACACGGTGGGTATTTGTGGCGCCGTTTGTAGAGTGGGCGGGAACGTCGGAGTGCCTACGTCACAGGAAGAGAGTGGCGGCAAGGCCATATATGTCATGTGTACGTCCGGGAAAGTGAAGGTTGTTTCTAAACGACGAACAAATAACAACAAATGCAGTGTGACACTTAAACTAACACATTCTGGAGATCTGTGAACCAAACTCCATTCAAATCTCCTCTCAAGTTTATTTGACCTTTTTAATTAAAGGTGGAAAACATTTATGATTATATGTTTTTGCTTACAAACAATTTTGTAATTTACAAAAACTCTCCAAAACCACATACTGTCTCTGGTTTTGTTATTGTTCCTCAACACAGCAACTAGAAAGAAGAGTTTAGTAACCCACTAGCTTACCTTCTATTCATTTACATGTCGTTTGTTGCATGACTTGCCAAAATTAAAAATGGCTGCTGTGCTTTAATTAACCATCTTCATTTTGGTTGCACTGCGGCTGATTGATGGTTTGGTGCCAAATAAGTGGTGGAAAACAAACACATTTATGAATTTCTGAGTTTTTTACTGACAAAAAATCTATTTATTTACTCCTTTAACATATTTTATAAAGTTTCTTCAGCTTAAATGCTGCAAAAATACCAAAATTTTAATGACACCAGCTCCCAAATATGAGGATTTCCTGCTTGTTTTTTCAATCATATTGTTTTCTATTCGGGGAATAATACTTCACTTCCTGATGTCAGAGCTGATTTATGTTCAACGTTTATTATCAGCTGAGCGACAGAGAAACGAAGCTCGTAAACTTTCCTTCAACTTTATTGTCAAAGTTGAAATTCATGAAAACAAAAGCAAAAAGAACGAAACATGAAAGTGGAGGAACTATAAAACATAAAAAAGAATCCGGTGGGTGTCCGAGCCGCCAGCAGAGACGGGATGAAGCGTTTACATGTTGTCCTCATCGGAGTCGTCGTCCTCCTCCAGAGAGTCCTGAAACACAGAAACACCAGCGTCACTTGAATGTAGCGCCACCTACAGGCAAACACTGTCCTCTACAGGTAGATACCACAGAACACGGGTTATAACTCCGTAAAGATCAAACGTGCAGTTCCTCTGTTGACCTCTAGAGGTCAGAATGAGCGCGTTTCATTCGTTAAGCTCACCTTGGCGTATTTCTCTGCTTCCTCTCGGACATCTTTGGGTACAAACTCGTGTCGTCCGTTTGTGACTAAAGAGACAGAGACAGACAGGAGGAGATGCGTTACCATGACAACCACAGCACGAATTTAAGTTTTTTGTATCTTCAAAACTTCAACATGAAAAATAAAAGCTGCCAGAAGATGAAGTCAGACTGAACTAGAAGGCCTGCCAGCTTTACAAGACAGAGTTGTTGTTTTTTTAAAGTTTTTAAGCAGAAACTGAGGAACCAATCATGTTCCAGCTTTGTATAGCTCCGCCCCCTCACTGCCTCCAAGTGAACCAATCAGAACGAGGAGCTGCCTCACGCTCCACCAGGTTTGTTTACGTTCTGCAGCTGCTTGTGTTTCAGCCACAAGCAAAGTTCACCAAATGTTCTGTGTATTTTATTACAGCTGAATCCCAAATTAAGTTTCTGATTTACAGATTTTTTGCTTCTGTATGAATTCATGTGAAATCGCAGCACATAATGACCACGTGTAGACAATATAACACTGACTTTCTAACGTCATCTGACAAACTCACCAAACACAGGCGTTAAAAAAAACAACTGAGCTGAGAATTTACAGATGTTTCATGTAAAATGATCCTCAGCGATAAAGTCCTGCTCCACTCGTTCACGGCTGTCGGCTGCTGTGGCCGCCTGCGTCTCAAGGAGAGTTTTCTTCCTGAAGTGGGCGATGACAGCAGCAGCCACAGACGCCGAGACAGGCGGTTCAGAACAGAACTAAAACCAGGAGTTCTACAGTCATGTGACACGAAGCGTCTCTGAGCCAGAAAACAAATTACAGGAACACGTGAGGCTTTAATTAGCTTCAGGGGAAAAGGATCAATGTGGAATCTTCAGCTTCAACCAGACAATGTTTCCAGAACTTTCTTTGGGAGTGAAAAAGTTCTATTTGTAAAGTGGCCAAAGTATCGACAGATGATGAGAAACGTTCCACTGTCAGGTCATTCAGTGTGCAGGAAGCTGAATATTAATACCTGATGATGTTCTGCTCATAGAGCCTCTGATTAACTCCTAATAATCAAAATGTTATTCAGCGTTTTTATCAGTATGAAGCTCTGTTTGGTTCTTTTTGTGAAACTAAAACTTTTAAACATAATTTTACAGTTTTATATTTGTCATGAAGTTTCGTTCAGATGTTAAAAAGCTGCGTCGGCTAAACGTCAACATTGATCTCAATCAGAAACCTGATCGATCGCTGTGATCGTAGGTGAGAGCAGGTGTGTTTCAGGTGAACACAGCTCAGGGATTGGTCAGACAGCCAAGAGGAAGTGACATCACAGGAGTTCAGTCCAGTGAGCGAAACCTTTGGGACTCTCATCATCCCTCCCTGCCGATCGAACCGATCAGCCGTATTGACGAATCTGACGGGAGCTTTTAACTGGAAGTAGAAAAAGAGAAGAAGAGCTCTGATTGGTTCTTACCTTCTCCAACCCAGCTGAGCTCCAACTCAAACGCTTTGTCCTTCACCTCGTCATGAACGATGTAGATTCTGGAAACGAGGAGGACAGGAGGTTTGTTTTGGTGTGTTCTGTTGTTCCTACACGTGTTCATCTGACAGCTTCAGCTCCTGGTTTTCTTCTACAAAAACATTCTTAAAGATGACGCCGCCTGCTGCAGCAGGAGTTTATAATCGTTTAGTTTGGATGTTTCTGACTCACATTTTGGCGACTTCTTTGACCAGTTCTCTGCACGTCATCTCCTTCATCTGACGGACAACAAACACACGGTTACACCAGGAACGAACGAACAAACAAACAAACAAACAAACAAACAAACAAACAAACAACAACAACAACAACAACAACAACAACAACAACAACAACAACAACAACAACAAACCTGCTGTGATCCAGTGTCAGACAAATCCATCAGTTGTCTCATTAAATCAACATATATAAACACATCTAAACTAAATGTCCCCATAAACTCTGAAAATATCCCCAAAAATGTCCCAAACATAATAAAGTGTGTAAAACACATCAGAAAAGGGCCTTAAATGTTTTTAAAATGTAAATATGCAGGAAATGTAAAAATATATATATATATATTAAACAAAATGTGTAAAACTTATTTAAAATGTTAAAAATAAAAAAGAATAAATTATGCAGAACCTATGTGCACTTACTATTAATGTCAATAAATGTCAGAAACACAAATAAAGAGTTTAACAGCTAATTAATAAAATGTCTGAAAATTTCAAAAACACAACAAAATGTTATAAATTTAAAAAGAAAACGCAAAATATGTTAAAACATAGAAAGAAAATTAATGGAATGAGTCCATAAATGTCAGAAAGATTAAAAAGTGATTTAATTTAAACGTCTGACAGGTCAGGAAATATTTGTAATATTGGATAAAAGGTGCAGGAATCGTTTAAAACACTCAAATATTCTTAAAAAAGCAGAAGAAGATGTAAACAACGACCCTCAGACAATGTTTATGAGTTAGAAACAGAATAAAACGTTAATAAATGTCAAAATATTTTCTCAAATGTGCAAAAAAGAAAAAATCTTAAACAGAATTATATTTACAGACATCAGATTAATAACATATCCTAAAAAATAAATGTTAAAATTGTCCAAAATCATTATTAACATATGACTAGTAACAGAACACTGTGTGAACGTATTGATTTAACAGCTGATTGATTAACCTGAGCTTATTGATCAGCTGATCGTTCACACTGTGACCGTTTCACTCTTCAACTTCCAGACTGAAGCTGGTTTCATTCACTGCTGTTGAACTTCTTTGAATAATAAAAACAGCCGCACACGGAGCAGATTCTGAGTGTTTTACAGATCTAGAACCGGATCAGAACCAGCGTCGGGTTCCTTACAGCAGCTGGAGACTCACCTGCAGCTTCTCGATC